AACAGTATGTGCCACACATAACAAACTGTTCAGCAATGTAACCCACCTTGGTCCAGTTTTATTTTGTGGGCGTTATTGGTTATTACAAACTACATTTGTTTGTGATAAGGTTTACCACAAACTCAAGGCAGTTACAGCTCATAGTTATTCATTACTTTTTTTCGAACAAGCCCTGCTAAGATGCGGCTGTATTTACAGCTATCTATTTTATTTTCTATATTGCTACAGTTACCCATGCAGGAAATATGAATGTACAGATAAACCAACATGCAATTTCCAATGTACTCTACATCAGTCATGCAGCGAGATATGCTGTAGTGGAACTGGGGAGTGGGTGTGCTTTACAATGCACACCACAGTCTCATTTACCTTTAATCTCTGAGTAAACCATCAGAAATTAACGGATTATTGAATTGCAGCCATCATGCTGACTGCCTAATGGGCATTAATTTCTCCTGCTTTGCAGCAAGTGCTGTTTTGACAGTGGTGCTTGTTTTGAGGGCAGAGTGAGACTGTTTTACTAAATTCTATTCCCCATCTGCCTTTCACAGCCCTTCGATTTCCACTGCTAAGTAATTCCACACATTAGCCCATAAAATCAGCTTGTCTTAAAATGTAAGGTTGCACAGAACCTTGAGAAATTCTTAAATTCAGTCTTAAATTGGAAAATGGTTTAAGTACTATACTGTGGAAAACCAGCTGTCAACTGAATACATAATGTGAAAATTACCTCATGAATTTCAGACAAAATGGTCTCACAGACTAAGATTAGGTGGAATTTCAGACCTCTGTGCTCTGTGAGCTAATTGCATTGATTTCACAAAGGCAACAATTTAAAATGTTGTGTTTAAAAAGATCAATCAAAGAACCACACAAGTTTGTTTTAATACTGTGTTTGCAAAAATCCAAAGGCAAAAGCAATTGTTATAATATTAATAATAATCCTTACATTTGATATAGCACCTTTCATATTAGAGGATATCTCAAAGGTATTCAGAGGATATTCTGTAAAATGCAGTTACTGTGTATTTTGCAGGGGAATGCGACTGCCAATTTGCTTGCAGCAACATTCCACAAACAGCCAAGAAGTGATTGACCAATGTTATCTGGGGAAATTGATGACCAGGAAATGAGGAGAAAGTCCTTTCTCACAACAGCTTGTGACATGGGATCTTTAACACCCACCTGAACTGTCAAACCGGACCTCGGTTTAATGTCTCATCCACGGGATGAATAATAATAGAACAATAGTCCTTGCATTTGATATAGCGACTTATCACGTCTTCAAGATGTCTCAAAGCGCTTCACAAAATATAGTGTAAAGTGATGTGACTGTATATTTTGTGGGTGAAACAAAATGAAGAAGACCCTTTGGTCCATTTGATTTCATCCTTCCAGAATACCCAATCCACCATCTTCGAATCACAGCTTCACCCGTTTTTGTGTTAATGAGTACAGTGTTTTGGCCTCAACCATCCTTCTCAGCAATCTGTTCCAGTCAATTATTACCCTCTGGATACAGAAACCCTTCCCTGGTGCCTGTCGTGCAATTGCACTCTGCAACTGTTAATCTATCTCTCCATATCAACCTGTCTGTTTCTTCCGCTCAGCAGACTCTGGCCTGCCCCACGTCCCCCCGCCCAGCTCACACCACCATTGGAGGTCGGGCCTTGAGTCTCTCTGCCCCCACCCTTTGGAACTCCATCCCACAGTCCCTTTGCCTCGCTCCCTCTCTTGCCTCCTTCAAAGCCCCGTCTCAAGACCCTCTTCTTCGACCGCGCTGTCGATCACCTTCCTACCTCTTCTCTCCCTGCCCTCCACCCCTCCTGATCACAACCCCCTGCTCAGGTCCAAATCCCTGACTGTCCAGCGCCTTGAGACATCCTCCTTACGTGAAAGGCCCTGTGTAAATATAATTGTTGTTGTTATCTCCTCTTGTTCTACGGTTTAGTGCATCCAAAAGTATTGTTCTGGGTTTACTTTTTCAGTCCCATTTAAAATGTTATACCCCTGTATAAGGTCACTTTGGGCACTGAAGTGTTTCCAGCTTGTCTAATGAATGCTCGTAGGTTATTGCTCTAATGCTGGACTTCATCCTGTTTGCTCTCTGCTGTACTAGGGCTTGGGCAGCCCTCTTACATTGTTTTGGTAGCTTTTATTCATATATACATTATATAAATATATGTGGCGTCCCGTAGTGTATTGGTTCGAGGACTTGCGCCCCAAGCGAGAGAACCCGGGTTTGATTCCCGGGCAGGATGTTTACCTCGCAATAAGTAGGAACCCGGTTGTTAGTCAATTGGCCCAATGCTTTTTGGGGGTAAGAATCTCTCCCCCTAACAAATGTGATCACTCAATCCACGACTGTTTGTGGGACATTACTTGTACAATTGGCTGCTATATTTCGCCCACAAAATACATATTCAATTCACTTTACAATATATTCTATGAAGCGCTTTGAGACGACATTTCAATGACATAAGGCACTATATGAAATGCAAAGATTATTATTATTTGTGGTGATCAGAACGGTATACAGTACTCTAGGTGGGGGCTGGACAGCTTGAGTAAGATATTGTATGTTCTACACCAGACTGAGGCAATATCCATGGTATAACTGAAGCCACCTCACACCATTTTTATTCAATGCAACCAGGCTGGTTAGACTGATTCCAAATCTGAAGTGCAGCTGGCTCACATGTCGAGCGGTACCACATTCTGAGATACAGTCAATTCACTTTACAGTATCTTCTGTGAAGCACTTTAATACATCTCAACGGCATGATAAGGCGCTATATCAAATGTAAGTATTATTATCATTTTAGTTTAAGTGCTCCTAAGACACTACCCTGCGTGGAGGGTGCTATATTAAGTGAAAATTGTTGTTGTTTTGCTGTTGTAGTTTGAAAGTTCCCCGACACACAAAAACATTCAAAAGTGAGGAATGTTAAAAAACCTCTCAGGATTCGGTTATTGTCTGGAAGGAATCAATTGCATTTGTTGAGACGTCTGCTCGTTATATCCACTGTTTAGGGGGTCATAAAATAATCAATGCTCCAATGTGTTTAAAACTGCAATATTCCCTCTTTTAGATGACAGCTGAAGACCTTCCTCTTCGACCGTGCTTCCCTGGCTTAGCGTCAGGCTCTGCTTTCCGATAAGCTGCCCTGTATGAAGGGCGCGGTATAAATGCAAGTTGTTGTTGTATGTGACCCCAAGTAAATTATCTGCCTGCCCCCCTCCCCATTTCCAAAATAAACAACCACAACAAAAGTACATTTTTATAGCATCTTTCGCATCGGGAGGACGTCCCAAGGCACTGGACGGACAGAGTTACAGACCCAAGCTGGGGGTCGGGGAGGGTGGAGGACAGGGGGAGGAAGTAGGGAGATCGAAGCGGAGAGTCTTGAGATGGGTCTTGAAGGAGGCAAGGGTGGGTGTGAGGCAGAGGGACTGTGGGATGGAGTTCCAGAGAACACTGCAATGTGTTAATTGTATCGTGGCTGAAGACTTGCTGTGTCTGGTGGGGGAAGGGGGGGTGGTTGGCGATCCAACGCCCCCCCCCCCCCCCCTCCACACCATTATTTTTCTCAACTGACATTCTGTGCAGACAACATGCACAGTATATACAGACTAGTCTGCAAACAAGAGGACAATACGCTGGTTTTAGGGTGTGGTCAGGTGCCCGTGGCAGTCAAAGGGTTAATAATATTGCTGGGCTGCCGTGTCAGGGAAGTGGTTACACTGGGAAAAAATAATGTTATTGATCAAGGCAATCTTACCAATAGCAGGTCACATCGGATCCTGCTTTAAGAGTTACAAATCCATTAACACAGATAACCTATTATGGAGAACATAAAGGCACTGTTTAGCAGCATTTTTTTTAAAAACTTACATTTTTAATAAAAGGGCGTGAATTCAACCCAGTAATTAAATTCCCAAGCCTTTCAAGTAAGACAGCCTTTAGCCTTTCTGTGGAAAATATGGCAACTTTAACGTTATACCCATATTCTTTGCGTTTTCCTCCATGAAAATTAACCTTTGGATTGTATTCAATTTGTATTTCTTACCATGTCGCCTGATTTGTTCGCCAGTGAACGACATTACTATGTGAGGCGACATAGAGGGACAGAAAAGATATCTTCACAACATGCGTGGCTGTTTTAAAATAGAAAATTACCGATAAGCTATTGTTTTTCGTTAAGATGCGACACAATGCTGTGTGTTTATTTTAGTGCTGGGAAAATGATCAGAGTCGGCGCATTGCATTCCTTTCTAGGATCATTTTGATAAGAGATTTGTTTTCTCTTTGGATCAATTTTTCCTCTTTCTCGCCAAAGCCCTCACAGCAGACTTGAAACAGTCATACACTGACTGTAGCGTCGCTGATGGCAAGTCGCCTGTCTAGGAAAATGTCTATACAGTATTTCTAAACTGGCGAGGAAGCGAGGGAAACTATTTTACTTAATGTCCTTCCTCAACCCAAGCTTTGTTTATCATATGAAAAAAAATCCTATGAATAGGAGAATAGCCCTGTGGTGCACATTTGAGCCGCTCATTAAATTTAATCAAGGGCTGAGTAGGTGTTTTCAATTTAATCAAAACATGGAATAGTTACCAGGAAAGGAAGGGGGAATATATATACACATATATATATATATATATAAATATAAATTACAATCCAACAAGGCAGGGCTAGATGCATTTTACAATTCTGCATGGCTTTGAAGGGGACACACACACACACACACAGAAAAAATCTATATCGGGTTTTTTTATGCCTTGCATTCCAAAGTTATTCCTATGCATATCCATGCAATATTTTTCCGCTTTCCCTCGATAAAATTGCCAAATAATAATGATTCATTTCATAAATAATGGCCTGGCTGTCTTATCTGGGAAGGGCGGCGAATACTGCTTCCTTATCTCTCCTGGACACATTGCTGGAGTGTTCCGTTCCCCATACTAAATAGGAAATCCAACGTGATGTCAAATCCACACCACTCTCTAAGGCACACAAAAAAAAGCTGCCAAAAAACTTATAACTGCACAAAGACTCTCTCTCCGGCCATGGAGGGGGGTGAAAATGGCTGCAAACATTTTGCTAATAAAAAACAACGGTGAGTATATGTCTAAATTATCAACTCTTTGAGGGGGTGGATGTTTTGTGCTATGTGGATGAAATTCCCCCTTTATTATTGTACAATTTCAAATGCGGGATTTTAATAAGCTTTGAACGATGGCAATATATATATTTTTTAAAAAAACACATTGAAGCATTGATTATATCTATATATTTTTTAAAAAGTTCGATTTATTTTTAATACAAAAAAACCCTCGGCGAGATCAACAAGAACACGATGGGAAGGGTTTCCACCGAATTTTGTAACGATTCCCCATGTCGAGCGGTGTCTTTTGTTTAAATACAAATAAAATTGTAAAATTTTGCTTTTGATGTGTTCGCGCGTGTAATAAATCGCCTGATGATATTTTGAATTGATTTGAGAAAGAGAGGATTATTTTTTTTTCGGTCTCCTCCTTTGGAAAATAACAGTAAACGACACACACATATACAGACACACACACAAAAGGACGGTGGTACTTTGAATGATATCAGGATCCAATAGTTTCGTTTTCTCTTTTCTTAATTGCCATTTTGCGCATTTCAAGAAATTTGCGGATGGGGGGGAAGGGGGAAAGGGAACGAGGGAATAACCTCAATAACAATCAACGAAGGGGGAGAAAATCACCGAACGTTTGCTCTTCCAACGAAAAATAGCGACGTGCGTTAAAACTGATCTCAGAGCCCTTTTGATGAACATTAACCTATTATTTACGCTCAAATTCACTCAGGATTCTCCAAAGCACTCTCCAGCCAGAGCTCTACATGGGCTGGGGCGCAGCTATGATGGGGATTTGTATCACCGGGTATTAATTTAGAAATTAAAACCCCACACCGTTTCACAATATGTCGATTTAAAGGCAATTTTCCCTTTTGGAAAAAAAGCTGCATTGTCGTGAAAGTCACCCATATTTGAGTGGGAACATCAGCCATTGGGAACATGGATGGCCATTGTTGACAGGGAGGCAGACTGTCGGGTGGCATTGCAGGAGACCAGAGAAAAATACATTTTCAGCTAAAAGTTAGATTTTTTTTTACAAGTTTCCGTGTGTTGTGATGTATCGGTAGAGTCGTGGGAAGTGTCCTTTTGAGTACAGTTAAACGGCACGTTTTTTTTATTCGTCCCCATTGTGTTTGATTTGTTTGTTTAGTCCCAGGCCCTGTTAAAGACTTTGACTTGCATAAATATACATACAGGCAGCGGCTCCCGCCTGTTTATGGGAACGAACGTATAAAGGGAGCGAGCGATGGGTACACATACACACGGTGTCTATTTTAACAGGAATTGGCAGAGGGAACGTCGCATTTGAACGTGTGTGTGTGTGAGAGAGTGAGTGAGTAAGTGAGTCAGTGTGTGTGCGTGTTTGTGTTGGGGGGGGAATCAAGAAATTAGGACATTTGTGCTATTTAGATACAAAAAAATGAATTTATTACATAATTTGAATAAAATAAGGAAATTATTAATTGTAATATGAATGAATGCGGGAAAGAGAGAGAGGCGGGGGGGGGGGGGGGGGGTGATATTTTAATTTGCACAGGTTATACCTTTTAGATAGACTCCGTGGATAACACCAAAAGCGAATTATAGCTAAATAGTTTAGTGATTTTTTTTCTGAAACAGTCTGATATTTTGTACTGTTAAAAAAGATACAGCTATGGGTTAGAAACTGAATCGTGTCCCCCCGCCCTCTTTTTAAACCTGGTTTCTGAGTTCCCTACAGAATTCACTGAAAATATTACAGTGTGTGTGGGTGGAGTGTTTAAACCCGGATCTTTAATTGATCAACTGTTTTAAGTATCTCGGTTGATTTTCCGTACACTGCAGAATACTTAATCCATCCAACAGCCTATTTTTTCTCCACTCCACAAACACACACAGGGAAACACACACACACACAGGGACACACACACACACACACACACAGGGAAACACACACACACACAGGGACACACACACACACACAGGGAAACACACAAACACACACACACACAGGGACACACACACACACACACAGGGACACACACACACACACACACACAGGGAAACACACACACACACAGGGACACACACACACACACAGGGAAACACACAAACACACACACACACAGGGACACACACACACACACACAGGGAAAACACACACACACACAGGGAAACACACACACACAGGGAAACACACACACACAGAAACACACACACACAGGGAGATACACACACAAGGGACACACACACACACAGGGAAACACACACACAGGGACACACACACACAGGGAAACACACACACAGGGACACACACACACACAGGGAAACACACACACAGGGACACACACACACAGGGACACACACAGGCAAACACACACACAGGGACACACACACAGGGAAACACACACACAGGGACACACACACACATAGGGAAACACACACACAGGGATACATACACACAAGGAAACACACACACAGGGATACACACACACACAGGGAAACACACACACACAGGGACACACACAAACAGGGAAACACACACATACAGGGAAACACACACACAGGGAAACACACACAGGGACACACACACACACACACACACACAGGGACACACACACACACAGGGAAACACACACAGGGACACACACAGGGAAACACACACACAGGGAAACACACACACGGGGAAACACACACACACACACAGGGAAACACACACACAGGGAAACACACACACAGGGACACACACACAGGGAAATACACACACAGGGAAACACACACATGGAAACACACACACAGGGAAACACACACACAGGGACACACACACATGGAAACACACACACACACACACAGGGACACACAGGGAGACAGAGCCTCACATGCAGATGTTGGATTGCGTGTGTGACCCTCAGTGTAATGAGATAATTCCGATTTCTCAGTGAGTTTGAGTGCGGTAACTGGAAGCTGTGGCAATACATTACTAAACCCTTTCTCACTTCAGTTGAAATTGCTGGGAAGATATACAGGAGGACAGATATTTTTAGAGATGTTACAAGTATTGACGAGTGTTGTGGTGACTGAACAGCGGATAGAGATGTCCCAGCAATAGTCATGCTTTAAACAACGGCTATACATGTAATAAAAGGGTGACCAAAAAGTCGTGATACCATTACAACATCTAATAAGGCTTAACGGAATGAAGAAATAAAGTAATTATTATTAAAATAAATGGCATTACGATTTGTTGGTCACCCTGTATATATATATTATATAATAATAATCCTTGCATTTATCTGTATTTTAAGGGTATATATAGGGATATAGATATAATTTAACAATGACTATATATTCATTGAAGGTTGTTTTATTAAAATAAATATGCAATTACGATGCAAGGATTTGATGCTGGATTGACAATCGACTTATATAGAAGTTATTGGCTTTCAACATTTTAATCGCGATTTTGTTTTGCACACATCAAAAAAAAGGTTATTTTTTCCCCGAATTTCACAGTCGGCGACAGACAAAGACAACAACGCACAATAAATCTGGTTGGCATTTAAATGGCAAACTTTGAATTACATTTCTCTTCAAAGTCATCGAGTGATATTGGGTTAGGTGTTTAACATTAAAATAGGCGTTTAATTCGATGACTATTTTTTGCTTCTTGCCAGGGCACAAGGTCTTAAGTGTGTTAAAACATTCTTTGTTTGTAATCTGGGTGGCTTTTAAAATTCTGTAACGGCATTCGTTCATGTAACATAAATTATTGAAAGCGGTGCCGAATTTAAAATGAGATCAGATGTCATACATTTCTCTATATAATTTAGTCAATGTACATTTATTTGGTCGCCAAAGTCATGGGGAAACTATTCCCTTGTAATGTAAATCACCATCAGCTGCTGTGTGTAGTGTTTTGTGTATATATGTGTGTGTGTATGTGTGTATATATATAAATAGGATTTTATTTGCAGATGAGGTTACATCGGGCGCTCATACATTTGCGGAAATTTAACGAAAATTGTGCTGAAGCTACGAAAGGGGATTTTTGTTTGCGTTTGCGGAGGGATGATGGAAAAAGTCGGTTCGGATGTTGACGGAAGTGGTGCCGGAGACCTGAACCCTGGCCCCAAAGCTTCTCCCAAACGGCCGGGGGATTGCGACTGTGAGGATGCGGATAACACGACCCAAACAGCCGCGGTGGCGGTGGTGGCGGCGGTGGCGGTGGTGGCGGCGGCCTGTGAGCAGCAGCTCAGCCAAAGGCGAGAGGGACCGAGTGCGCCACAGCCACAGCCACAGCCACAGCCACAGAGACCTGCGTCAAGTGATGGGGTTCCCATGGAAACGCGACACAACTCCCCCGACCCCTCGTCGGAAGTACCAGTCATCAACCTGCACACGCAGAGAGCGGCTCTGCCTATAAATCAGACTGATGGCAAAGACGCTTTCACTCAGTCAGTCCCCACCACCGAGCTGTCCAGACCTCCGCTGCCCCTCGCCCTGCACACTCAGCTGAGCGACAATCGGATGGTCCAGTTAACCGCAGCCCACCTCCCTCTCCCCGCCGCCAGAGCGATGCTGTACAACAGCACTGCCCAGTACCAGACACTCTTGAACAGGTCAGTTTCGTTTGCATGGATTTCTGTTAGGAAATTATACTTCGGGATGCAGTTCAGTAGATTTAGTTCGGGGGGGACATGACCTGTGCCATGGGACTGACTGACTGTGTGCCAGGATGGTGGGTCTTGGTCTAATTTCTTGTGGCAAATTCTTATTTTCTTATTCATGAAATTTACTGACATTTAATGGTTGCCTTTCATTGGGGGGGATTGGGGAGAGGAGGAAACCTCTTTTTTTCTTCACGTCTCCATCTTATTTCTCCATCCCAATTATGCATTGTGGTTTTCAGTTAGGGTTTAACCCCCTCCACCCCCCCAATATTCGGGGGTATGCAAAGATTATCATGTGCCTGAAAGTAAGATAAATCAGAAATATATGTGCATCCAACGAGAGACTGACCAGCTGCTTATCTCTCTCAGAGTTGGCGTGGCATCATTCACTCGGTGGATTCGAGAGGTGGGATGGCTATTTATGACCCAGAGTGGATTGTGAAGGGGGCACTCATTCCTGTTTCTTAGAATAACTGTAGGTTGAGAAACAGTTTGCGCCATAAGTCGCTGTGCTATTTTGGACTGGTGAATACACACATCACCGATTGGCAAGGGTTTGGGAAAGGGCGCCGACATCAATCAAGACATACACACATACATTAGTAAATAACAAATACAGAAATAAATAAATGCTGTGGCAGATTTCACGATTGCTATTACAACAAAAATGTCCTTTTCTTGTGACTTCAGTGATCCAGAACCCTTCAACATGTTCCCCAACATCAGGGTGAAGCGAAGGCCGACTCCCTACGAAATGGAAATCTCTAGTGGTATGCACAGCTCGACTGGGATATCGCAGCACAACTGCCCGCGTCTCTCTCTCTCTCTCTCACACACACACATCATTTACGGTGCAATGCAACGGTCTGAATTTTGCAACTATCCGAACACAAAACCATCTGTATATATATATAGATATATAGCTCAAGGCATGTGTGTGTGTGAGACAGAGAGAGGAAAGACACTCACGCACACACGTGGGTGAAGTTGGGATAACATGCGCTCCGCTCCATTCATTCATTCATGGTTCAGATACAGAATTTTTGTAAAACATTTTTGGGCAATTTTTTTTTGCATCGAATTGAGAGATTAACTGCTCGCGTCTATTTAGGCGCACGATTTGCAAATGGTTCAGGCGGGTGTGTCTGTGTGCTGGCGTTTGCAAATCGCTAGAAATGCAAAAAAACAACCCCCAAAAACATGCAAAACGCAAGAATTACGCAACAACCGGCATTCACGCAGCGCTCCTCACGCAGGGCAGCGCCCCAGAGCGCTTGGTGTGTGTGTGTACAGTATTATATTTGGATTCATTCTATTATATGTATTATATATATATATACATATATTGTGCAGCATAAGGGTTTGATTCCGTTGCAAACTCGGATCTGAACATGACGCACAGCGCTGGAGGTCAGGGCTGGACTATTCGCTCATCATTCGCTGTCTCTTAACATGCGTTGCGCTCACTGGGGGAGGGGGGGGGGGTTGTGGGGTGCGGGGTCGATGTAATCGAGCGGCGTTTGGATTTGGGGGTGTAATAACCTCCCCCCCCCCCCCCACCCCCGGTTTATTTTGCAGGTCCGGTGTCGCAGCCCAAAGTGGTGAGAAGGATCTTCACCAACAGCCGAGAGCGGTGGCGGCAGCAGAACGTGAACGGCGCCTTTGCGGAACTGCGCAAACTGATCCCGACCCATCCCCCCGACAAGAAGCTCAGCAAGAACGAGATCCTGCGCCTGGCCATGAAGTACATCAACTTCCTCGCCAAACTGCTGAGCGACCAGGAGGAGCAGGACGGTGACCAGGGCGCCAGGGCTCCGCAGGGCCAGGGGGCGGGGGGGGCCGGCACCAGACTGGCCAGGGAGGACCTGCACACCGGGTCCCCGGACTCCAGCTGCGGCAGCTGTTTCGATGGGACGGGAAGTCCTGGGAGTTTAAGCGAAGAGCAGGAACAGCTGGAGTCACGACACGACCACCAGCATCACCGCCATCAGCACCCCATCCTTCCTCCAGATGTGAATGTGAATGGCCAGCGGTGATAGGACCACAGAGCGAGAGGGGGAGGGGGGGGGGGGGGGAGGGGGAGGGGAGGGTGGGGGGGAGGGGGTAGAGAGGGGAGGGGGGGGATGAGACACTGCAGTTAGAAGCTACAACACTGACTCTCTCTGACTTTTCTCGGATCTCAATGCGCCTCTTTATTTTAATTGCCATCTTAGCTATAAATAATGATAATAATACTACTAACGAGGCGCGTGCATTCGACACAGCGCCTGGTCAGGTCTTCGAGACGTCTGAAATACACCGTCAAGTGAATCGACTGTGTATTTTGCGGGCGGAACGCTGCAGCCAAATGGGCACAGCGGCGTCCCACACACAGCCGTGGCTGAAGTGACCAAATTATTATTATTATTATTTTTGTTGTATTTATAAAGTGGAAACCGCTTTAGCCGGTCAAAACAGCCAGTCCCGACGTGTCCGGCTTAAGCGGCTCCCACACACACACACACACGTGCGCACGCATATATATATTGCATTTAACTGTTTCATTTCCAGGTACACGTCCATCTACGCTTCTCTCTTTGCCTCACACCCATCCTCTCACCCACAACAGACTGTGACTGGTTTTATTATCATTGCCTCTCCTTTAAAGAATGAGTCATTCCGTTTCGTTTTTGTTTCAAACAGTTTTTTTTCTCTCCAAAAAATAAAAGAGAAAAGGTACATTGTAAATATTGTACAAGATTCTTTCTGCCTTCCTTCCAAGCTTTGAGCTGCCGTGAACGAAAGGAAAAAAAAGGTGTCAATACAAAGGAGACTCTCACTCACGGCTTAGGTTGGAATAAGAGTATTTTCATTGATCTCGATTCCAATACCCGCCCTCTCCCTTCGCTCTCCCTCTTCAACTGTGTGATCACACGAGTGGAATAGTAGTGTAATTTGTAGCAAATCAATGGATGAGTGTAGGGCAAGGTACTTTTCTTGATATACAGTATTTATATATGGATTTCCCGCAAGGGCTAACCATCTTCAAACAGTAAGAGACTAGGCTCAATTGGCCAAATCAGCAGAGAAATTACACTTGACTTCTTAATTGATATGGGGATGAAAACGCACCATTACATACAGATGTGCAAAGTTACGAAATGGCACCTTTTTCACCTCTCTCTAACCCGGAGAGAGAGTGGGGATGAAAGGGGAAGTGGTTAGTTAGACCCTTTGAGATTTAAATTTCCAAACAGAAATATTTTGTACATTAACAAAGGCTGTGTGTAAAGAGCAGGACACTGTCTGCATATGACAAGTATGAAACAATTGTTAAGCACACGACTGTTTTTGAAAGTCCTGGTTTTCTATAATCTTCTGGATCAATAATCATAATTTATTCCACACACTTGATAAATTCAGATTTTTGGGGAACAAAAAGCGCAGGCAATTTTTATGGGTAAAATTTGTGACATTTTCTTTCCACAGAGTATTGGGAACTCGGCAAAAACCACAACAGCAGACTCTTGTATTTAATAATAAAATGGACAATGTGTATTGTTTACTTAAGTGCAAAAAAATGGTACACTCTTAATTTCCCCATGTTTGCTCCCGCCTGCTAACAGTCTATGTATTTGTGAATATCATAATATATAACCCACACTGCACTTTCAATACATTTTGTATGTGATTGTTTCTTTTTCTTTTTCTGCATTTGCAGAAACCTTGGGTAACGAAAAAAAATGAAACCTGTTTTGACTTTCAGAGAGAAAATAACTCCTTATACAATGTACATTTCTGACAAAATGACTCTAAATGGATATCCTTTTAAGCCTGGTTAATAGGCTGGCAAAGTTTTGTGTGCAGTATGTATATCGCGTATTGTTGTAAAATATATGCAATGTTATATTACGAAGAATTTACTTTTAATAAAATTGTATACATAAACCGATACATAAACTGCCCATCTCATTAAACCTGACATGAGTCGCTAAACTGGGTGCTGCTAAAAGGTTGAATGAATACTGATGATGATTGAGCCTGTTTCAAGTGTTGGGGTTAAATTATAATTTTGCTTTTGGGAATTGGATCGTTGGATTGTTCTGGATTATATGTGAAACAGATACTGTCTATTACCCTGTGTGTACCAGACTGCCTTTCTGCCCCCACCCTTTGGAACTCCATCCCACTGTCCCTTCGCCTCACCCCCTTCCTTACCTTCTATAAGGCCTTTCTCAATAACCCTCCTCTTCGACCGTATCTTTGGTCACCCTCCTACTCCTTACTCTCCCTGACCTCCCCCCAGCTCGTGTTCAAATCCCTGAATGTCCAGTGCCTTGGGACGTCCTCCTGACATGAAAGACACTATACAAATATAATTTGTTGTTGTGGTATACTGGGTTAGTTGAAGCTTGTGTTCATGCTGGTACACGTTGAATCTTGTTATATCCAGTATGTGAATAGATAAGTACTTCATGGTTAGTGTATCAGATAATGTGCATTTTGTTATCCTGTACTATGCAACATACTGGTGCAAATCTGTGCATCACGTATTGCAAATTGTAAGGACTATGCTTATTTATTGGAATGCATGGAAATGCAGTGTATAGGATGATATGCACAGTGCTTGGGAACACATATATATAAATAACAATAATAATCCTTGCTTTTGATATAGCGCCTTATCACATCTTCGAGACATCTCAAAGCGCTTCACAGAATATACTATGAATATATTTTGCGGCAAAACACGGCAGCCAATTGCACACAGCAGTGTCCCACAAACCGTCGTGGACTGAAGTCACCAATTCATTATTGTTATTTTTTTGAAGGGATTATTACCCCCAGAAAAGTGATCTGCCAATCAACTAACAACCGTGTAAAACCTCATATGAAACCAACGACAAATATACCCCCAGATATCAATCAAGAAATGGACTAGAAATGCAGTTGTGACTTCATTGGGGGCAGGAGCACTCGCTAGATAAACATCATCTGAATATGGGTATCAGGATTTTAATAATAATAATAATTCTTGCATTTGATATAGCGCCTTATCACGTTTTTGAGACATCGTAAAGCGCTTCACAGAAAACAACAATAAAATGAAATTAACTATTTTATGGGCGAAATGTATAATAGTTATTCAAAGTGGCGAGACAGATATTTAGCACATCTAAATGCTAAGAACAAGGCAGGACTTGGCACCAGAACTAATTTTCTTCATACAGCGATTGGGAGAAATATATTTCAAATTGGCTAGGTGTTATGGAAAGGGTGAGACAGGGTAATATAGCTGATGCCATCCAATCCCCATTGGCAGTAGATTTATGTGGTTTATATGCAGTTGTAAAGGTCTGTCTAAATCCACAGCCTGTTCATTGCTAATACATACAGCCTCCTTGTTTTCAGGTGTAATTAAACACGTTTGGGGCCACGTGATCTCAATTGGCTGCCACGTTTATGCCCACAAAATATACAGTCACTACACTTTATAGTGAGCCGCTTTATAAGGTCTTGAAAATGTGATAAGGCACTGTATCACATGCAAGGATCCCTCTTATTATAACAATTGAAATGATTCACTCCATTGGCCCGCAAATTAATAACAATAATCCTTGCATTTGATATAGCACCTTATCACGTCGTCGAGACGGCTCAAAGCGCTTCACAAAATATACTGTAAAGTGAATTGACTGTGTATTTTGTAAGGCGCTATATCAAAGGCCAGGATTATTATTAGTAGTTGTATCAGTAGTAGCTGGAGTTGTACATTGATACTGATCCTTATATTTGTTGTATCAGACCAATTTTAACCTGGTGAACATTAGTTACATTTGGGTGTGTGTGGGGAACAAGGACTCTAGTGATCATGTAACTGCAGAAGATCGAGGGATGCTATTAAGAAAAGAAATGTGCTTATTCAGCCTTCAGTTGAATTTATTCCATTATCTGTTTGTTTAAAAAAAAGTCTTCTGTGACATGTTTCAGCCCTTCACGCAATGCAGTATAGTAATCATCAGCTACAATTCATTCAAAATTATTTTTGTATATAATAACCATTACTTTCTGTCAAGGAATTTGTTTTGAGAATTAGTAAAGTAACAACGTACATTCTTATTTGAATGCACGTGGTCTTGAGGTTGATTGATTCTTATGGTGTGAATCGATTCGGAATGTGCACTTGCCTCAGTTTGCAAGCATTGTAACCCTTATCTCTTTTTCCCCTCTCTTGCCTCTCTTGCCTCTCTTTTCATTATAGATTGTTGTGCATTAGAACAAGTTGGGGGGATTGTTTTACAAGATTATTTGCCCACAAAATATTATTTAACAGTATATTCTGCAAAGTGCTTTGCGACGTCTCGATGATGTGATCAAAGATTATTCTCATTATATATTCCGTTTGGAATCGTGCACATAAACTGTGGGTCTGAAACTTGCTAAATAGCCTCCATTATCAAGGCAGAACTTTCTTTCAGGAGATAAATTGTGGGTAAGGTGGAGGCCCTGATAAGCAGACTCTGTGTGGTCTGTTGAAAGATCAGGGTTGGTGGGCCAAATGGCTGTTATCACCCCATCCCTTATAGTTTCATCTTTGTGCTCCACATAGGATGAAAATGCATAATTATTTATTGTTACTTTTACGAACGGACCTCAGTTGGTAGCACTCTTACTTCTGAGCCAGAAAGTTGTGGTTTCAACAACAACAACTTGGATTTGTATAGTGCCCCCCACGCCGGACAGCGTCTCAGAGCGCTTCACAGTAACGGATCCTGGGGCCGAGCTAGGGGAGGGGGAGGAGCCAGGGGGAGAGGGGGGAAGGTGACCAAAGGCGCGGTCGAAGAGAAAGGTCTTCAGCCGAGACCTGAAAATAGGAAGCGAGGGAGCGAGGCGAAGAGAGTGAGGAAGGGAGTTCCAGAGCCTCGGGGCATAGTGGCTGAAGGCACAGCTGCCGAGGGTGGAGCGGAGGACAAGGAGGAGGCCAGACGCGGAGGAACGAAAGCAACGGGTACTGTTTTGAGGAGAGAGGAGGTCAGAGAGGTCGGGGGTTGTAGAGGAGTGGAGGGA